ATCTTCCAAAGATGGGCCCAACTTATCCATTACCATAATAGTGTAGCCTTTTTCTATCCCAAACCTAAAAAAAAAAAATGTAGCAAAAAATAATCTATAAAATAATGAGGATAGGTTGGAAAATTACAAAGAGGTAGCCAAAAATATCATTAAACAAGCTGTATATAGATGAAAAAAAAGAAAGTTACCTTACCATCTCATACGAGGTATACCAGTACCTCCTTCCAAAGCTCTGTACACTCTGCTCTCATGCAATAGTTGTGGGTGGCGAGCCTAAATGTGCATTTTTGTAATTGGAAGTACGAAACATTCTGGAGGAGAAACAATACTTAGTTAAATCATCAGTCAATCGCGAAAGTTCTGCACTGCATCACTTTAAATATATGGAGTGCAACATTTCCTCCGCAAAATCAAGTAAAGGCTTATAGAAACAAACTTGGCTTCATCTAAACAACAGGCTTGAATTAGCAAAACTAGAAATTTATTTCTGATAAATTCTGCCGTTTAGTGCAAAGCTCAAGAACTTTTTGCGGAATGCGTAAAGTTAAGGCTAGATTTCTGAGACTTTGGCAGAATAACCAGGAAGAAAACTCGTACATAGACCGGCTCGAGTTTTACTGCAACTTCCTCCCCATCTGAAATATCTACAGCTAAATAAATATCTCCGAATGATCCGGACCCAAGTTTTCGCTTTAATTTATATTTCGATCCAAAGATGTATTCCTGACCAGACGAGGTGAGTGTTTTGGACATTATATGCCACCTAAATGAATGAATTGACTTAACCGATTTGTAGATCGAGTAAAAGACAAACAGCCCAAACTGAACTCCTCACTGTCTGTAAAAAATTCGGAACCTTTTTGCAGATAATTTATACATGTCAAGCAAATAAAGTTAAATACGGTTTTTGCTACCACCCACTCTGCAATTCATAATCTGCAAACATCCCACGATATAAAAAAAAATAATGTTTCCATTAAAAAAATTCATAGTTTTGTTTACCTCGTTTTATCTTTTTGTCTAAATGACAGGTAAAAAAATGCTACAAAATCAGTAGGCAAGAAAGTCAGTGCAGGTTAAGGAAGAGGAAGCTATAGCTTCCGATAACCCGAGTAGCAACAGCTCCTAAAATTTAACTAATTCTTCTATGCGAATGGACACGACAAATTATATAACAAAAAAGCGTTCTCTATGAGCAAGTAGAAGATGATAAAGTTGCAAACATCGAGCAAAATAGCTACCAGTGAAAAGCACAATTCTGCCCTTCTCTAAGAAACAAAAACAAAAGATATCTGTATTTTTACACTCCATACATAAATACATCAGCATAAATATACACGTAACTAGAAATACACAAAAAGGTATGGACGTCACTAAATAGACAAATAAATAAATAAGTAAATAAATGAATAAACATATAT